ACTTTTCACACTCTGTCAATGTAACGCTTGCAAGCGTCAGCAAGTCAGTTCGTAACTGAAAGAGAATTTGGAACGACGGCTATTAACGTTTAGCAGAATAGCTGAATTCTGGAAATCAGAAAGTAAGTACGTGTACTTTCCACTTTGTGGGGTTCTTCAAGGATATCACTATTACGGAGCAATTAAAACCGTTGGGGGCGTTTTGCGACTTTGTTGTGAAGGGGGAAGGGATGTGAAGGGATGTTTCCCTTGTAGGGGGATACAAAAGAAGGGAAGGTCTGACACATAAATCTGCCACGTTAACAAAAGAGAAATCTTCTTGGGGCATCGGCTACAGAAAAAGTGCTCAGAGGTGTTACATTCTGAGCGGAGCTCGGTTTCTCAAAAGCAAAGAAAATTTGAAAAGCGGTTTTACGACCAATGATAATGATGATCAAAACTTTAAGATTTTCAGCTTCAATTGTTATTTATAGTATAAAATAAAGTAATAAAACTGCTGAGTTTAAAGAACGCGTTTAATTTAAAGAATTAAATCATTTTAATTTAAAGTTTGAACATCTATTTAATCCGTTATCTAATTTTGAGTTTTCATAAAAAACATTTAACTTTGTGTTATATACCTTGAAGAAACGTGTTTACTGCATTTTCTGGATGTTACAAATAAATTAATAAAGCAGCAATTATTGTTAAATTATGAGGAGTCATGTAGCATTGTCGGCATAACGTATAAGACTGCAGAGCGCTGGATATATTTTTTTTCGCGCTTTTTTTAGCAAAGACCGAATATTTGTATGGTTAAAAGAGGTAGCAAAGTGAGGTTTGAGGAGAGTAAGAACTTAATATTAGTTCTTCCCATTCTCAAACCTTATTTTCCTATTACAGAGAGGTAAAAAAATAAGTTACTTCTTACCTCAGTCGCTTTGAAAAACTAATTCTCATTATTAAAGAACTTACCATAAAATGAACGAAGAAAACTGCAATGAATTTTTTAGCCCAATAAAATTATTCTTCTGTTTATAAATTCAAATTAAAGCAAGTTAAACCTCGTACAGACTAGTTTTTAACTGCGTCTGTAATTTAAAATTTCGTTTGTTAAAAAAAAATATATATATATATATATTGTTACTTCTTACTGCACAGCACTAAACATCATTCATTACTAATATCATAGTGTAACAGATCAAAAAGTATTTTTTTTTTTCTTTTGCAGTTTCAAAGTACAGTTATTTCTATGCTAAGAACTATCGATGAATTTAATAGAATACTTTTATAACTTGATATTTCTGATTAGTGCCTCAGAGACGGGTAAGTGATTATATTGACAGATTGCCGTACAGAAGGGCTCAAGTTCGAATGCCATATAAGGCATGGATGCACATCATGCCCATCTGTTCATAGGATAAATGTCTTCGTAAAAGATTTTCTGAGTTAACCTGTAACGTACATAATATTTGTGTTCAAAGATATTAGAAAAGTATCTAAAATAATGTTTACAAAATATATTATGTAGCAATTAGAATTTAATCGTAAACACACTTTCAATATGAAACTCAAAAACGAATGAAAACGCGTGCCTATAACTTGTAAGAAAGTTCTCTGATCAATAGGCACTGTGAAACAACAACAAAAATTTGAAAATATTATTACTTAATATTTACAGCCAACATATACAAGACGAAATTCAGTGTAAGCATAACAATTAAATTTTCATATGCAGAATAGGTAATCCATAGAGTAAGATTTCGATTCTTATAACATGACTTGCGTGTGGTACAAGGTTACTTTAATATTTTCAGATATGAGCTTCCATAAAAGGTAAGTACTGAAGATATCTGAGAAACAACATTCTCAGAAGATCTTCATATATCCCGGGACATTACGACTTGAACAGGACATCCTTAAGATGTTGATTTACGATGTCCTCAGGATATCTGAAAATCAACATCCTGAGGAGATCTTCATATATCCCGGGACATTGAGACTTGAATAGGATATCCTCAGGATGTTGACTTAAGAAGTCCTCAGGATATCTGAGAATCAACATCCTCAGGATATCCTAACTGCTTCCCGGGAGATTGCGACTTAAATAGGATATCCTGAGGATGTCTTGTGTTATGGGGGTAGATTTAACTATTTAGTGGTAATTCTATTTTTGAGGGTTATTTATGGAAGCAACTCAAAGCTACTAGTTAATTTATGGAAACCTGTACTATGATAAATGTGTATGTTCATAAAATGATTAACCATACTGTGCAGGCAAGCCTCCACATTTATTCAACATCAAGTCTGTTCACTGCGACCGTTCAATGACAGAGCGAGACTGACCATTACAACCGGTTTTTTTCTTCTGCAACTGTTCTCTGAAGGTGTAGCACGGCTTCTAGCCGTTCTCACCGCGGATGACGCGTTTCTGCAATTTTGTTCTTTTTCGTGTCTTTCTGACGACCATCTCCATATAGTTTGAAGAAAATGCATTTTGCCAAGAAAATAGAAATTGGTACTGAAGATTCAACTAAATTTATCTAGATGCTGACTTCTGCAGCAAATGAATGATGTTCTACGACTTCAAATATCCTCGAGAGGACTTCATGTCCACGTGTTGCACTTTCCTAATGGTGCGGAAATTCGCTTTGTGTTTCTTCAAAAATATATAATTATGAACTGAGATTAGCGAAGATGATCTGAGATTTACTTTGATTGGAACATTACGCATTTCTTGTACGAAAGGTTAGGATTCAAAATGGTAGGACTGACACTTACTGCAGCTTTATAACCATGTCTATTATCTTCTGTCTGGTGATGTTTTCTCGATTCATACTGGTATTAATTTAAAATTTTACGATGTCAAGATATAATAAATTTCTCTTAATTCACATTATTTGAAGTGTCATCCTTTGGGGGTAAGTTACTTTAATTCCATATTTTTTTTTCAGATCACACATTTCATTCTGCACGTTATCAAGTATTTGTGGGTTATTGCACGCCCACCATATTTTTATTACACATACCCAAGAATATGTGAATGTATTTCCCTTTAAAATCTTCCATGAAGCACACCTGTGTTTAAGCAGATAATATTTGCGTGTTTTGCCTCGATCAGTTAATTAATCCTACTAAGTTTCCTTTTAAATATATATTAGGTGGGGAGGAATTATTATAATTGAAAAATAAATAAATAAATGTTTTATGTTCTTAAGTAATTTTAAAAAACAAATTAACTAAATGAAAATTGATTTTGTAACCCATGACATACGAATAAGTAAATTCTAAACTGCTGGATATTTAACTGTCGTCAAAAGAGTTTTCATATTTTAAACAGTAATTTGAAAAATATAGACTTTTTCCTGTTGCACTTACACTGAAAATCCATTTTACGATACTTGCACACATTTGATTTCCTTAAGGATTATTTAAATAAACTAAAATTCAAATTTAAAATAATTTAAAATTTACGTGTAGGCCATTATAACGAAGTATGAAGGTTTTCTCTGTAATGTGGTGTGCACGGGATCTTAGTTTTCGCAATATGCCTTATTGCTCTACAGCGATCATAAGAAAATGACCGATGATGTTCTTGGGAAGTCATGGGTAGGACTTTAAGTACTCAGGGCATTTTTATAATTGCCGCGATGACATAGCGAGCACGTTACGGAATATAAAAATGATATATACTATGAATATATACAATGATGTGGTATTACGCACTGTGTAAGATGTGAGGTTAGGGAACAATTCCGGGAGTTCTCAGGACGTATACTGGGGCCATGAGTAATATTCTCAGAATACTCTAAGGAGAACTGCGGTATGTGGTTTCAAAAGTGCATAAATTTAATAAAACACCCTGTTTGTTTTCCAGCCAGGAGGATAGAAAGAAGGTGACCCGAAAGTAAAATTGTAAAACGCAACAGAATCTGATTATTCCCAAGCATTTTCCTAAGTGAAATCTCAGTCCATTTTATTGAAATGCGTTCAGTAAAAAATGCTACAGACTACGCCATTTATTTTATGAATATTAAAAAATAAAAAAATTAAAAATTTTGGATACATTTCATTAAGCCATTTGTTACTAATGATGCAGCTTAACATAGCAGCTTAAATCACATTTGCTTAAACATAGAGCTTGTTTGATGGGTAAATGTACACAGCTACAAATTTCGGGTTATTCAGGAATTAAACGCTGCAAAAAGTGGCTGTAACAGCAAAGTGGTAGGACTGACACTTACTGCAGCTTTATAACCACGTCTATTATCTTCTGTCTGGTGATGTTTTCTCGATTCATACTGGTATTAATTTAAAATAAGTATAATATACTCTAATCAGATGAAAGCCTTTCGTACAGGCCGTTATAACGATATGCCATCTATAACCAGATGTCAGTATAGGAGCATTGGTTGCATTATTCAACAACTATTTTCATAAAAAATATTATTTACAGGTAAAAATTCTGCAAATAAAATATTATTTGCAATTCTTTAAAATTGAAGCACATATCAGTAACTTCAGTATTAAAAAACGGTATCCCTCTTTCATACTTTAAATTTGTTGAAATTTATGGCTTGGGAAACCAAGAACTGCAGAAAAAAATTGCTGCATTCCCTACCTGTTCTGAAATGTTAAATGAGAAAACGTATTCAGGAAAAAAACTGTCTTGCCTTTCATTAATCTCAGTAGTTTTACTAAGAATAACATTATCGGGTCATACATAATCATGTCAATATCCATCTGTGGCGCATACACTCGAAACATCACAGTAGGCTATTTTATTTTTCATTTTCCGAATTTTTTATGCAATTTTACAAGTAAAATGAATCAAATTTGATTATAATCATTAATACCAATTAGAGTATTAGCCTGCCTTTTTTTTATATGGTACTTCTCATGCTAGATTTACTTATGCTTTTTTATGACACTCTTCTAATTAAAATATTCAAGTGCCTTCTTGTACTAACCTACAACGCAGCAATAGATTGTTATTTAAAAGTAATGCAATTTATACTCACCGTTCAAAACATGGACCGTTATGTTCGCAGGATCAGCATATGAAGGTTGGCAACTGTAGTTTCCAGAATCGGTAGGTCGAGCATTCTGAATCCTCAGCCGAGAAAGTGTGGTCGGTCCATTCTCGGTGGTTACGCGAATACCTCCTCTGGAAGAGTCGTAGTTGATCATTCGGTCATCGTGGAACCAGAAAACATATACTGGTGGAGATGTGCTTTCCGTAATGATGCAGGTGAGATTGATAGTTGAGCCACTCTGGATGTAGAGATTGGGGCCTTCCGGTATATGAGCTCGAGACACTGAAATTATTAAAAACCAAATTCATGAAATTGTCTGAACGCAGAAAGAAGAAAACTAAATTTTGTTCGATCACATTACATTTTTAATGATATTAAAAAATTTAAATTTACGGAATTAGAGTATTACTCTGGAATTAACATCACTAGGCAAGAAGAAAAAGCGTCATTTAAATATATATAACTGATTGTTAGGACGTTTATTATTCCACTACTTCATAATTAATTCAACATGAAATTTTGCTTCCATATAGGAAACTGGTTGGAATAGGACATAAGCATTCAAAATATCAGCCCTCTTCTATAACTCGAACTTCTAAAAATTCTTATAAAAATAGATGTCACACCCTTTCGCCATCTCTCTAAGCTGTTTCTGCTTTTTACCAGACGAGGCTCACGTGACACACGAGCTATAAACGAGTATGATAGGAGGAGGCTTTGCTATTTGAGAATCTGGAAGGAATTCCACCCGTTAAAGAACACGAAAAACATTTAAATGTTAGGTTACTGATAACCGGTGGCTATAAGAATTAGAAGAAATTCATGTAATTCTTTAATTTTTTTGCAGCTGTCGGAATAAAAAGTTTCTGTAAAGAAGTAAATTTTAACTTTCTTTAGAAGCGTTTTATTATCATGATATTATTATTGCCTAATAACAATTATTAAGTGTTTTAGAAACATTTTACAGAAATAATAAATATGTCCCAAAGTTTTGTGCGCCGAAAAAGCATAAAAGGTACTTTTTCCCATTTATCACATTACTTGTTCAACACTAATATTAAATTTACAGTAGAAAAAAATAATATTTTAAGTAAATTTTTAGGCAAATCTTGTATTCGCACTCTTTAAATATTGAAAAATAATATATACTTCGACTTTCTTATAAATAAGCAAAGCAAAGTTTTATCTTCCTTTTCAGTCTTATTTTCCAATCGGTCATCCTTGATTAAAAGTAATACTACGATGAATCCTCAAAATAAATGTCCTACAATGAAAATAAGTCTTTCTTTTACTTATCTTAAAATACGGCAATAATATTTTACTAAATTTTATTTTCAGACCTTTTTCTTCCCTATTTCGCCCATTTGTGGGCAAGAGGTAATGCCGCTGAATAGTGGTAGTTCGACCCGTGTTCAGATCCCAGCAAACGGGCTGGCTACGTGGGGGGTTAGTAGTGTAATTTTATTTTAATATTTAACGTAAATACAAGCCAGTTTCAGAAAGAAAGTCTTCCACGAAGGCATCCCTCCTCTTAGGTTGATATCCCTCCCGTGCTTTGCTGAAGTTAATTAAATCTTCCAAACATTTTCTGATTCTTTTGGATTGGGTATCATGCATTCCACGTGACAAGAAGTATCTCATGCACATCTCTTAAGGGGATGCTTCAGTATCTCCTTCAGAGATGAAGTAAATGTCTGAATATATACATACCATGGAAGTAAGAAAGAGTTTTCTTACTGCTATGGTACTTACCCATGAGCATTTTCTTATCAAGCAAACATCACTTCAAATATATTTCTCAGAATAGCAGAAAAGGCTGGAGGCTGCTTTTTTACTTCCTGTCCTTTTGCGAACTTGGTAAACAACAGGACAGTGGGTAGTAAGAAGCTTCTTTTATCATATGCTTTTAGGTATCAAAGATGGTATTTTTCATTTCAATCTCGCCATTACCAGCAAGCCATTTGCTAATAAGAAAGTCTGAAGAAACTCTTCGGCACAAATAGGTTGTATTGTATCTAAAATAGAAGGTCCCTTCTCATTTTTCGTTTCTTTTGTATTTATCGAGCGAAAACAGAGAATAAAATATTCGAGAACTTTAGAGCTCATATCGACTGGCTTGTTTATACAGCATATCTATAAAATCCTTACACGTATTTTAGTTTTGAAACCACTGGTGATAAGCATATGTATCCAGTTATAAACATTTTTAAGTAAGACAAATATTTATATTTTGACTGTTTAAAATTTTGCAAAATTTACAAAATCTACACAGTTCCCTTAGGATGTTTAGTAAACGTTTATACTACCTATGAAAATTAAAATACAGAACACTTGAATTCCATATGATAGGAGTTCACCAAGATGTTTAATTTTAAAGATTGAGATGATATTTCCTGGAAATTCAGGAAGAGCAAACATATTGAATTGCAAAATATTAAAATCTATAACAGGCAACTAAATGAATTATCTATTTGCGTAAAGGTTCCTAATATTGATAGTATAACTATCGAAGCTTTGATATGCACTCTCTTCCGAAACATTCTGGTGAACAAATTTTATTTTCCCCAAAAAGAGAAATCCTATTCATAAAATATTATGGAATTCATGTTTATAGCCAGACTTCAACAGGGCCAGGGCACGGCAGCACAGCCAGGGCACGGCATTATTCGCATAAACTAAAAATTAAAAATACTTTTATCTATCTCAATAAAATTTTTTCTATTAACTATTACATTATGATAATAAAAAAACTGTATGTGAATATTAGCGAATTTTTAGCATTTGAAAACTTACCGATTACCTGAGTGAAATTCTTCGGTACACCGAATGTAACAAAACTGCAACTTAAAGAATGTTGCACACTAGTAAATAACAAAATATCACAGAATGACATTAACTGCAAAATTAGCCTCTAATTATTTTTAATGATTTTTAATCGAACCTCAAAGTAAACCGAACCTGGAAGCGAAATATCTTAAAAAAACCTTTTAATTAAATATTTTAGCTATTTTTATCGAGTTAGGTATAATTTATAATTTTTTATAGACTTACTCATAAGATATCAGTTAAGAAACTAAAAGCATTAAATTTGAAAACGTGATTAATTAAATAAAATAAGCATAAATAAAATGAATTAAAAATTGTACAAAATTACTAACAAAGTTAAAATTTCTGGCATAAAAGTAAGAGAAAATTTAATTTAACCCGGTTTGAAGGGCTGGTGCATGAAGAATTCAAGCAGCACTAAAATATTCCAGTGATAAAATCAGTTATCAATTTGTTGATGTATTTTCCTCGATTTTATCTGTCATATTATTTTAATTATGTTTAATTGAATTTTATGCCTTTATATATATATATATATATATCTTATAATCAGCTTTCCTTCTACAATTACAGTAAGATTTCCATTAAATTCCCGGCATTATATGACACATCTGATAACTTATTGGTGTAAAATAGGTGTCTTCATCCACTTATACCTATACGAAATGCATTACCGCAGATTATGTGCAAAGCTTGGAGAAATTGAGACATCGAGCAGAGAACTGCAGATGATAATTTTACAATTTTACAATAAGCTGTATGGAGCAGTTGCTGTCGTTCATAAAATAATATAATTTCCAGCGCATTTAGAAGTCGATGAATCATGTCGGTATTTTTGGTTATTATGGACTAATTTGCTGACATAAGAACGTTCTGTAGTTAATGTTGATGCGGTGTTTAGTGCTTCAGCAAGAAGAGAACCAATATTAATTTCTTTCATCCAGCATATTTTTTTAAAGCGCTAAGCTGGAAATGGAGTGAATATGAATTGAATTTTATTGAGAGCTTTTGTTAGAATTATAATAGCTACGTAAGAAGCAGGTTAATTCGCTTAATTTTCAATTATACCATATAGCTTCGGAAAATATCGTTATATAATATCAGTTTATTGATTATGTCTGTTAATGGAATTAATAATCACAAACTTTGAAACTAAGACTTAATCAAATTCTTTAAACGTTAACGTCAGCGTAGTGTAATGTCTGCTTTGATTGGATCGAAGATATGGTGCAAAGTCTCTCTTACTCCAAAACTGTTCTTAAAGCCGTATTTTAAAAAATAATTTTTTAATTAAAAATGTAGTCTTAAGCACGTGAAGTGCTGTTGTTGAATTAAACATGCAGAAAAACATCAATTTTTGAAGCAGAAACAAATGTTAGATGAGCATTCTTCAAGAACCGAACCATGGATCATCTGATGCTTTCTGGACTTCCCAAGTATCTACAGCTTGAGGCCATGAGAGTACGCAAAGGAAAATGCTATAACTCCTTACGTTTTCTCTCACTTAAAAGACGACTGGGAGAGGCATGAGCAACAGATTAGCAGATCCAGGTGGTGTACCATATTTTAGTTCGATCGCCTCAGTAGAAGATATGGTCCAAGGCAGCTATCTTAAAATACTGTGTTCTCGTCGGAATTTGAGCCACAGATCTTCCAATACTAGCTAAGCGTGGTAACCATTTATACCATGATAACACGCATGTGGTAATATAATTACTTACAAAAGCTTAACCAAAGAAATTACTATAAATGATCATGCAAACATAATAAAATATAATACCTATATGATTAAATACATGAATGAAGACTCTGAGTACTACCAAATCATTATTGTCATGATGATCAAATAGGTTTCGTTGAATTTAAGTGCAGTTATATAACTTGGAAAGTTAAAGGCTTTTCATCCTCTAGCCCAAAACAAGTTAACGGAAGCTTTCCTTTTGTTGCGAATATATTTGTTTCTCTGCTGTAGCATTACCTAAAAATATGTTACATTATGAAGAAGCTGTTACTTTATGGAGACCCTCAGTAAATCTTCCGTGCTTATTTATACATTAGTCATAAGAATGCTAATATGCTTTATTAAATACTGTTGTTTCTTATGTGCAAGACCTAGCTGAATTTTGCACTGCCTTTAAATGATAAAAAAAAAATATTTGGTACTCGATAGTATTGTTTCAGATTTAAGCATATGGAACCTTAATCGGAAAGGAAATATTTATTTACCTGAGGATTATGTAGCACTATATTTCAATCAAATCAAAAGTCAGTTTAATTTTTTGTTTCTTTAAAATTTGTGACAATGAAAAAATAAAGGGCACATTTAAATCCAATGGTTTCAGATATCTAAGAATCACAGCAAAATTCTAAGAGAAGGATGTAAGAAGTTTTTAAAAGAAAAACAATGCAAAAAACAATGCAATTTAAGGTGAAAGTTATGTCTAAACAGGTACAGG